TGAGGGTGAGTGTGAGTGAGTTTCTGAGGGTGTGTGATCGAGTGTCTAAGGGTGAGTGTGATCGAGTGTCTGGGGGTGAGTGTGTGTCTGACTGTGAATCAGTACCCTAGCGTGTGAGCGAGTGTGTGAGTATGAGCAAGTCTCTGAGTGTAAATGGGTGTGAGTATCTGAGTGTCAGTATGTGAGTGTCTGAGAGTGAGAGGGAGTGTCTGAGTGTGAGTATCTGTGAATTTGTGAATGTGAGCTGGTGTATGAGTCAGGGTGAGTGTCAGAATGTGAGCTAGTGTCTGAGTGTGTGTCTGAGCGTGAGCGTGACTGAGTGTCTGAAAGTGTGTGAGTGAGTGTGAGTGAATGCCAGAGCGTGAGTGTGAGTGAATGCACATGAGTGTGAGTGAGTATCTATGAATGTGAGCAGGGGTTTAAAATGTGTTCATATGAGAACCTTTGAAAGAGAGTGTGGACGTACATGTGTGAATGTCTCGAGCTGTGAATTTGTGTGACAACATGTCTGATTTGGGTAAGTATGCATAACATACGGGGCCTGTGTGGGCTTGTGGATCAGCGGGAGTAAATGGGAAGGGCAATCAGGAAGGAGATGTGAATGTTTAGGAGCAGAAGTAGGCCATTCAGCTCACTAAGACTGCTCTGATGTTCAATGAGATCACGGGTTGAACTGATAATTCTCAATTCTGCTTTCTTGCCTTTTCCCATAACCTTACTAATTAAAAATCCATCTGTCTCAGCCATGAGTCCACTTAACAACTCATCCTCAACAGACTTCTGTGGTAAAGAATTCCACCGATCCACTACTCAATGAGAGAAGACATTCCTCGTCATCTCTGTCTTAAATGGGTGACTCCTTATTCTGAGATTCTGCCCTCTGGTCCTAGGCTCTCCTGCAGGGGGTAGAAACAACCTTTCCACACCCACTTAGTCAAGTCCCCTAAGAATCTTGTATGTTTCAATAAGGTCACCTCTCGCTCTTCTAAATTGCGATGAATAGGTCCAGTCTACTCAACCTCTCCCCATAAGACAGTCTCCCCATACCTGGTATCAGCCCAGTGAACCTTCTCTGGACTGCCTTCTATAATGCCAGTATATCTCTCTTTAGATAAGGGACTCGAAGCTGTTCACAGTATTCTAACTGTGGTCTGACTAGTGCCTTGTATAGATTTAACAAAACTTTCCTACTTTTATCCTCCATTTCCTTTGAAATAAAGGCAAACACTCAGTTTGCCTTTCCTATTACCCACTGAACTTGGGTGCCAGCTTTTTGTAATTGATGGACGAAGACTCCAAAACTCTCTGTTCTATAGCTTTTCTGCAGTATTTCTCCATTTAAACAGTACTCAGCTCCTCCATTCCTCCTGCAAAAGTGCATATCCTCACTTTTCCCACATCATTTTCCGTGAGCCAGGTTTTTGTCCATTTGCTTAACTTGTCTGCATCCATCTGCGGACTCTTTGCATCCTTATTGCTTGCCTTCCAACCTAATTTTTGTGTCATCCGCAAACTTGGTAACAGTACATACACTTTGCTCATCCCAGAGATTAGTAGGCATTGTAAATAATTGGTGAGTAAGTTCATGAGGCAAGTTTGGTAAGACACAACAAGAAAAAATGCCAGGTTTTCGAGGCAGGAATCATTTCAGCAATCGCAGCACATTTCAGGTTTAGCCAAGAAACTTAAGTTTCGGGCCTATGCCCTTATGTATCAGTATATGTATACTGAGTGAGTGTCTGAGTATCTATGTGTTTGTCGAGTCATTGTGTACACTGTGTGTATGTGTGTGTGTGTCTGTGTATGTATGTGTGTGTGTGAGTGTGAGAGTGTGTGTGTGTCTGTGTGTCTCTGTATGTGTATTAGTGAGCAAGAGATAAACTCTTTGGAATTTACAAATTTTCTTCAGGGCGTGACAGTGTGGATGTAGATTTGATGTTTTCCCAGGCTGGGGAGTGTAAAACCAGGGACCGTAATCGCAAAATAAGGGGTAGGCCATGTAAGACAGTGATGAGGAGGAATTTCTTCGCTCATAATGTGAGGAATCTTCGGGAATCTCTGCCCCAGAGGGCTGAGGAGGCTCAAACATGGCATTAATGCGAGATGGAGATTGATAGTTTCCAATCTTGACCGTGCTCGATGTTTCTTAATCCAGTGTGTTTTGAAAGTGTATGTGAGTCTATGAGGGGGTATGCGTTGGGTAACAGTTTGTGTGTGTTTGAGTGTATGTGTGTTGGGTTGTGACACAGTGAGTTTGCATGTGGGTCAGACTATGTGACCCTGTCAGAATATGTACAGTAAAAGTAAAGGTGTGTAAGTTTGGAAAATGTGGGGATGATTGTTGAGTCTGTATATGTGAATGTTCTGCGTCGGTATATGTGAGAGTGCAGGTTATGTATATGTGAGTGTGCAGGGTAAGTATACGTGAGTGTGTGTGCGCTGGATAAGTATTTGTGAGTGTGCACTGATTAATTATACATGAGTGTGTGCATTGGTTAACTGTGTGTGAATGTGTGTGCTGGTTAAGTATATGTGTGCGTGTGTGCAGAGTAAGTATATGTGACTTTGTGTGCTGGTTAAGAGTATGTGACTGCATACTGGTTAAGTATATGTGACTGTGTGTGCTGGTTAAGTGTATGTGAGTGTGTGTACTGGTTAAGTATATGTGTGTGTGCTGGTTATGTGTATGTAAGTGTGTGCTGGTAAGTATGTGTGTGTGTGCGTGTGCTGGTTAAGTGTATGAGTGCATGTTGGGTAAGTATATGAGTGTGTGCTGGTTTAGTATGTGTGTGTTGGGTAAATATATGTGTATGTGTGCTGGTTTAGTGTGTGTGTGTTGGGTAAGTAT